CGCAACAGCTCCTCACTGACCTCGGCACTAACCTCGGCGCACGTGACACAAGAACATGGCGCGCCAAGCCAAGCCAAGAATTGATCCACGCCATCCACGATCTCTGCAGGCAAACCCTTCGCAACCCGAGAAACTTGCAGGGAGCAATTTGTTTCGCGACGTTTGGTTCTGCGGCGTTTCGCTTTTTGTGAGACTGTGAGCCGGCGTGTTTCTGGAAGTTTTTGCACTGTTTTATGAGCTTCTCTGATGAACATCGCAGAGTGTTTCTTTCCAACCTGCGGGGTTGTCTGAAGTGTCGAACTGGCCTCTTAGACTAGTGCTTTTGTTCGTCTCCAACGCGCAAAACTGGACACGCGGTGCCAAGGCAAATGCGCGACAGCAAGTTTATTAAATGGAAATATGCAGCATGCGCATGTGGGGGAAGCAGGTGGGGGCCCAAAGCTACTAGCGAAACGGAACTGGCCGTTGTAACTGTACCACGGCGCTGAAACAAAAGCCCACCACGCAGTACCGAACATTGCTGGTGCCGAACATCGCTGTACCACAGCATGGGAACTGGCCATCCAGCTGCAGTCTCGTGAAGTTGCGGCTGCGCCGCTCCACGACACGCGCGCGTAGTCAGCAAAGCTCTGTTACATAATTACGTGTCAGCGATATACGCTGCACGATGCTGCTCAGAGTGGTCACATTGTCCATTGACTACCATGGTTTAAAAGGGCTCTTCGCTTGATTCGAATGGCTTGAGCCAAAACGGCTAAGTCTCTGATTTGTTTTGCTAAACTTAGTTGATTCAATAATTTTGCCGGCTTGACCGGAGAAACTAAGAACACAAAAAAGCATTTCAATGACCCAACTTCAAGAAAATGGGCCGAGCCCAAGTGGCTCAAACATGACGCTTCTAAACGTAGCTTGGCCCTCCCAAAGAACCACGCAGCATCTCGACCATGCTCTTGTCCACGAACGGACGGGTCCTGGAAGACGATTTGCCTTTGAAAGGAACCTGGTGGAAGTCGTGTTAGTGGATTAGGAGGGTAACTAATTCTGGAGAAGACCCCCCAAAAATGGGTCCTGGCATCCCGATGATACTCGGATTCCTCGGCCCCCTCGCTCAGCGCGCTCGCCAGGCGCCCGTCGTTGGCCGCCTCCTCGCACAGGTTTGTCGCTTCAGGGCGCCCACAAAGAAGCACGATTTGTATTGTGTTGCAACAAAGTGTTGCTGAACATTGCTGCCGAGAGAGCTGGTTAAAGAGCTGCGTCAAAACAAACTCCTGATCCCTCCAAATAAAGTTTGGGCATCTGCTTGCTTTTAAGGTGCCAACCCCCAACCCCAAGACCAAAGCTGGAGAAGGTGGAAGGGCTTGGTATCCAAGGCACATTTGTTGATTGGCCCCATTGGCCCGCCTTTTCCATTGGGGTCGGAAATTCCGAAGGCGCCTTTCGTGTTCTCCAAGTCTACCTGAGCTTCTGCCCCTTGCCGTTTTCAAGGTTGGCGCCCTGCGTTGGCTTTGCTTTTCCTTTGGTTTTCCTGTGAAGCCGGCACTCCGCTTGAAAAGACACGGCCTCGAAGGTGAGCCGCGCCAGCTGCCGCACGTCATGGAAGGCTGGGCGGAGTGGATTTGGAGTTGCGACCGGCGAACACCCCAAGCCCCCGAAACCGTAGCCTCCATACTGTGGAGGGACAAAACCAACTTCTACCAGTTGGGATTGGTGGTTCATCCCACTATGTGTAGTTTCATGCCAGGAAGAAATGCATTCTCTTCCACAGAGCAAAGATCGGCTTTCAAGAGTGGCGGACGTGCCCTTGTGTGCCCCTACCGTACATCCTCTGAACAGGTAGAGTCACGAACTTATATGTGGGGCCTGTAACGTGTGCACAAGGGTATGTGCGCGCATAGGTCTAGAACACAGAGAACTTTATTTTATTAAGTTGCTTGCTCGGGGCACTCACTGACGAACTTGGAAAAGGCACGCAGTTAGAGTTCATCATTTCCCTGACTCCCAACAGACAGGAACCTGTGCCAACTGCCCAAGCACGGACCCCTTCCATCGCGAGCCCTTCTTTGACTCAACTTGCAGAATTAGGCGAAGCTAAGAACTCCCCTGTTTTTCGTTGCTATTTTCCGAACTTGGGGAGGGAGAGCCTCCTCTACACTCCCGTTAGGCGGTCTGAGCATTCAAGGAGATGACTCACCGGCCGAAAAGCTGCACGTAAAGCCGTGGAAGACCCAAAAGAAGCCAATACCAATAGCATCTTTCCCAGCCCTCATTCGCACGGCCAAGAGAAGCCCCACAAAAACAAGGGAAAGGGCGCCTGTTCATGGCACCTAGGAACAGCTTGCAAGGAGTGCGTTTTTGGGACCTTGACTGGAAATTGGCCAACACGGAACTGAGGGAGCTGGCAGTGCAACTCCGATGAATCAAATTCGTCAATGCAGCTGGGACCCCGCACTGCTCTCCTCCTCGTGAATCGGTGCGTGCGACCAGCGCATAAAACAGGCCCAAACCCTCCCCCACTTCCCCGGGCAAGGGTGCATGTGGAGCAGCGCAGGGCAGGCCTACCACACAAATGCGGGTACAACACAGTTTATGACTCGCATGCATTAACGTGTCTCCCTTGAACATGCGGCAAACCCCGTGCTGCTAACTTTGTAACTCCCCCCAGGTGTGCTGTGGCTGTTCAGGATTCAGAAAGATCAGCGGTGGCTGATCCAAGTTCAAGAAGAGCTTGCGCAACATTACCCGGTTGACAAGAGATCCTGGTAACATAGAAAGTCTATTTGGGGGGAATCGCCAATCAAAAAGGGTCTCAAGGATAGAACGACTGGGATTCTCGACTTCAGCGCAAGCAAACACCAACTACAAACATCCGGGTGCGCCTGAAGCTGCTGGACTCATGTACGTTTTGATCGATGCTGTATGTTTCCCGCTCCCCCTTAGAAACACCGTAGCACTTAGTATCCTACCACTATTCGATTCAGAAATTGCAGGGTCTAACGCATGTGGAAGGCGCTCGGGAAAGTGAATTGGGCACCCACCCTTTACCAAGACCAGGGGCTCATTGCTGAAGATGGACCTCTCAGTTGATTTTCAAGAGGGTACTCTCAGAAAGTCCCAGTGTGCTATCTACGCCTTCAAGGGCATGCCATAGGGCATGCCCTGAGGGCATGTGGCTTTGGAGCGTGTAGGTCAACCTCATAAAGCAACTATTGTGAAGAATTCCATGGACCAGCCATGCGCGGACCTTCACTCTGCCTGCGGCGAGCTAGCAGCTGAGACATTCCCACAACTCTGGTCATCGGAAACCAGGCCTGTTTTGCAAATGCAACACCTTCTGTTGGTAGGTGTGCTGCCTTTTGAAGACTGCACCCCTCGGCAAAGTCCTCAACAGGCTTCCTCATCGTTTTGGCCAAGGCCACAAGAGTTTGAGCTTTCTTTGGCCAGCCAACCCAGCGGGTCAGGAACCAGGCTGTCCTTTTGAGACCATGTTTTAGAAAGATGAAGCCCCAAAGAGTGTGAATTCCTCGGGGTGCGTTCGTTCGGGCGGCAACAGCCTTGACCCAGAAAGCTTTGCAAGGCCCGCAGCTCAATGAGATCACGCTGTTTTGAGACGTCTTCAGGTGCTAAGCCGCAAGGTAAAGAAGCAAGAGTATAAGGCGAAGGTGGAGGGTAGGGGCTGAGCTTTTGCACGAGGCAGCTGAGTGTGGAGAAACGCGACCCGCCTGGGCAGGGGGCATCTCACACTCCTGCAAGGGCAAACTTTTCCGAAGAGACTCGCTCATGTGCGCGGGCGCTAGCTGCTAGAAAAGCAACGGTTGCCACCCTGTAGGACTGTTAAAGATCAATCAAGTCGAGACACAAACAGAAACCAAAAAAGAACAACTATTTGATGTTTAGCCAGAACAATCAAGATGTAAATGCAATGAACAGTATCAATACATATGCACAAAACATATAAAACAACAACGTATCACACATTGTCCATCCAAACACAAAAGTAGCTAGTTATGTGTGATGTTGGAATTGTACTATGCAGTTGTGTAGGTGTCATTGGGCCTTCCCGCATTGAAAACCGACCAGGGCTTCAAGAGCCTTTGAAGGCCCTTCAGGTTCCAGGTTGGTGGGGGGGGATAAGTGAAGTTATTTCTGCTCATTTGGCTGAATCCGTCCGTCCCTAACTCCCATGTGAACCTTGACAGGTTGGCCCCTTGAACTGCTAGCCCGGATCCAATCCATTGAGCCTGGGCGAGACCCCGAAGCCTTACACATATGGTTGGCGCCTTTGCTCAACCGGATCAACCTACGGCTTCCGAAGAAGTGCAAGTTAAACCGAGCAGGCAAAGGGGGGAACGGCTTGAACGAAAGCAAGTCTGCAACTTCTGTCGGTGTTCTGCGTAGCTGCAACCTTTTGCTTCTCGCCTGTGGACAGCTGAGTCCTAGCGTGCCATGCGAGACGCCGGCTGAACGTATGACCCACATGCGGTACGTGAATGCCTGGTGTGGACCCCTCATTTATGGCTTTGTTGATCACGGCTTGTCATGGATTAACTCTGGAAGGTCTGAATTTTAATTCCAGACCCCTTTCAAGGGCAGTATTTACATAAAAAACATGTTGAGGGGTTAATGGTTAAACATTCATGGCCAGCGCAGCACCAGTCAAAATATGAGGCTGCGCCTCCTGGGTTCTGTGGTAACTTATTGTCTCCCCATGTCCCGAACCTCGAATTGAGCATACACACTCTGGACATTTTACCCGAACCTCAGTTCCATCAGCTTAGCCAGGTCCACGGTTGTGGACGCTATTCTGGCGACATGCTGACTTTGATGGGGTTCGGCACTCACAGAAAGTGGCAACCTAGATTCCTATTGTTCAGAACCACCTGTAATTATGTCCACAAAACCTGAAATAAGGGATCCTCAAGTAAAAGACCTGCATCGTAGTGAGCTCGTTTTACAAATATTTGCATTGCAGGTCAGCTCGTGAGCTCGCCATCACATAGGCGTCAGGTCTGATTTGCGGCCCGCTCAAGCCGCCAGAAGTAGAGGATCAGCCCCATCCTCGGGTCCAACGAAGCGCACGCTAGTGAGTTGCGAGCCGAGGCAGCAACAGCCTTTTTCAGGAAGCACAGGAAGGGTTTAGGATTCGTGCTCCGTTGGCCGGATACAGAGTAGGATTCTTTTGTGTTTTCCTGTTAGTCATTGGCAGTCTTTAGGGTTTTTGGGGTTGTTCGTTGTGGTTCCTTGGGATTCTTTAGTTCAGGATGACCCACACCAACAGCGCATCACCCTCCCTCCAAGAAACAATGTCAAAAAAGCATGGCATCGCGTTTGGGAGTGTACTGGCCCCACTGCAAACAATCACCACAACTTGTGTCATGTCCAGCTAAAGCGCGCATTTTGAAACATGTACAGTAGGTCATTTGCCACCAAAGGCGTAACCCCAGGATGCAATACAAACAGTCCAAGCGGGATGAACACCATGACTGAGTGGAATGACCCAGACCTGCAGTAGATTTCCATTGAAAGAAAAAACAAGCTATTGGTCGTTAATTTGAAGGAAGCCCACTCCAAAAAGGACAAACAGTACAGGACAATGAACCTGGACCCGGACTGCACGCAAACCGCACAGGGACGTTGGATAATCGTTGGATACACATTCCTGGACATGTGGAAGAAGCCTCCACAAAAAGCCTCCATAAGTCCCAAGCGGAGCGAGTTTGTGCTATTTTGAGGTCTCTGCGCTTGGAAAAAGTACTGCGACCTGTGGTCCCATGTTGCAAGTTCTGTCTCCCAAGCCGGTTCAACCGTTTAGCTGTCCCAAGAAAACTCAGATAGAGTTCCTGCCCAGCCCCCCCCTTTTCAAAGAAAACCCGTGTCAGCCGAAGACGAAGGCTCATCAGCACGGAGATGCTGGTGCCCAGCAGCGCGATGGCTGCCAGCAGCACGAGCTGGGCACCGATGCCTCGCCGCTGAGAACCCCGAAAAGGGTCACCGGGAAACCCACTGGAAGAGCAAGCCGGCTTTCGCGGTAAGGAAATGAGGGGAAGAAGCCGCCGGGCCGGACACTGCAGGCAAAAACAGGCCGAGGGAAACTGCTCAAAAAGAAGTCTGCGCTCCCAGGCGCTGAAGAACATCCAGTGGATAATCTCCAAATCCCCTCACTATGAACTGACCAGGTTTTAGCAAGAGGCCCAGAATCAACTTGGGATTGTCTTTGCTTCTTTCTCGAGGGGATTCTGAGTTGTTCTTCGCAGCACACCCCCACCTAGCACCGTGGGTGGGTTTAGGGCTGCTTCGCGTGGGGTAAGGTCGATGCAAATTGCAAGCCAATTTTGGGTTTGGGCAGGTTGCGGGTGAGACCTCACATGAGTTTTGAGGTGGGTCTAGGGTTGGCTTCTGGTCGGCACAGGGTTGCTTGTTGGTGATTTTGAATTGTGTTTGGGTTTATGACGATGTTTGGGTGGCTCCAGGGTGAGTTTGGGATAGGTTTGGGGTGAGTTTGGGGTTGATGATGGGTGGGCTCTGGACTGGCGAGTCGTGCTGCCCACGCGGCCAAGTTGGATGCGAATTAGGCGATCTGGCCTACATCCTGCCCAAGTCTCTAAGGGTCTACCTGCATGGGTTGAACAAACACGCCACTTTGGCGTTGCGATATTTTTCTTTTTGCGAGTCGAGTGCCCCCGTAGAGGTTGAAAGATGTCAGGCTTGGGTGCTGTAGTTTAAAATTAGGGTGGCTCAAGGGCGTGCTGAGGTGAGTGGAACGTTTCGGTGGGATTGTGAACAACAAGCGAGCAGTGAAAAAAACCCTGTTACCCGTAAAGGAAATTACTCCAGCTTCCGCAATCGCCTGCGGAAAGCTTCCGCCAACCGAAAGGTCGCTTACGTTTGCTTTTCGAAGATGGAGCTTACGCGTAGCTTACGGCAAGTTGCTCGTGCCTGATGCCCCGTGAGCAAGAGGCGCTAGGCCAAAAGCTGAAAACAAACTTTCGGGGCACGAACAGTTGTTTTCTGCAGAAAGCGCGCGGAACCTCTGCGAGCAAGAGGCGCCAGCAGGACAGAGCAACAAGTTGCCTGGAAAGGCGCAAAGGCTTTGCTGCACAGGCTCAGCAGTGACATGGAGGGGAAAACTTTCGGGACCCGAAAAGTTGTTTTGTGCGCGGATCCACCACGAGCAAGGCGCCAGCATGACAGAGCAACAGCTTGCATGGAAAGGCTTTGCTGCGCAAGCTCAGCATTGACGTGGGCACGCTAGGGATTGACTGCCGCATGCGAAGCGGGTATGATACCACTGCGCCATGCGATCCTGATGTTGCTGCCCGAAGCCGGTGTTCAAGCTTTCACGGCCAGAGAGGGGCAACAGCTCAAGAAAACTTTGCAGACAGCGCACGGGCGCTGCGAGCAAGAGGTGCCAGCACGGCAGAACGATGGAATGCTGCACAGGCCCAGCAATGATGCTGGAGGGCCAAATGGGAAAAACTTTCGGGGCTCGAAAAGATTTTTGTGCTTTCCAATCCCAAAGCCCAAAGGTGAAAAGGCAAAGCCGCAGCAAAACAAGCCCGGGGCTCAACATGTTGTTTTCCAAGCCCGCGCAACGAAAAAGGTGAGGTGCCAAAACAAAACTTTCGGGGCTCGAAAAGTTGCTTTCCAAACGCGCGCTTTTTTGTTCAAGCTGGCCAACGCGCTGTGCGTCAAACAGCAGTTGTCTGAGCCTGAAAAAGTTGTTCACTGAAAGAATCCCTTTCCTTGTTGCTCGAAAGAACCCATTCCAGCAATCTGATCCCATTTTCGCGCCTAAAAGCATTACGCGGACCAAAAGCAACTTCTACCAAACAATCTGAACGAAAAACGGGTCTGACAAACAGAGCTTACGCAAAGCTTACGACGATTGACTCATGCATGCAGCTTACGCAGGACCTTCCGATCGCTTACGAATCTCGCAAAAACGCTTACGACTGCAAGAGTAATTTCCAGTTTCATCTAAATTGATCTACGGAGGTTTTTTTCGCCGGGGGTCACTTGTGGGGTCTACAGCAAGGGGGGGTCACTTGGGGTGGTTTCGAGTGCACAGAACACTCCCGGAACCTGTGCCGGGCCGCTCCAAGCCAAATATTGGCGAAAGCCCAGACATGCTTACAGGGAAGCCATGGGAAGGTTTTGGCCCTTAACATTAAACCACTGGTCACTAATAGTCACGGCTGCAATGGCCATTAGGCCAGGCCGCTGGCATCTCCACGAATATCGTTGGCGACCAGCCAGTTGGTCAAAATGGCTAACAGCAGACCAGCGAGTAGCAGGACCACTTCCGAGTAGTTCGCCTGGAGAAAACACTGGTTCAGAATGCGTGACCCTAATCTTTAATTCGTAGTCGGACGCCACTACAACAACAAGGGAAACCACTACCATCTAGCATAAGGATTCGGATTCATGCTGAACAACCCATCAGTTTTGGCTAAGCGAACTAGTCACCTTGCAACCAGACCTGGAACAACTTGCAAATTGGAATCCACTGATGAAGCCCTTTCCGACGCTTGCCTTTTGGGGCAGGGAGAGTCACCATGCAAAGTAAACGTGTCTCCCGTTGGGCAAACCTAGAGCTCGGACCTAAGTGGGTTCATGAAAATTCCACCCTCCTGGAACCATGGTTTTCCAGAACCCTTCTGGACCGGGGGTGAGAACTTGCTCGAAATCCAAACTTCAAGACTCTGCTTTTCCCTTTCTTGGGAAGTGCAAAGAAGAACTTGTATTAACCAGGGATTTGATGCAACCGCGCAGGAGGCACTGCTTTTCTGCTGGAAAATTGGGTCAACGAGACGCAACTGCACGGCAAGAAACAGATGCCACCAGTACAAGCAGGGGAGATGATAAATGGTTGCGCCCCAAAGTTGCCCTCTCACGAAAAGTGTTTTAGCGAAAACTGGCCCACGAAAGTAGTGTCGAGAGGGCCCCGAAATGCTCACAGTACGGGACCCGGCCCAACCGAGAAAGCACCCAGGCGGCAAGACCTTCAAGGGGCTTTGGTTTGGGCCGAGTCTTGGGGCCCTGAAGCCCAGGGCCCTGCAAAAAACACTGGAAATGCCCATGCCGAGCCCCCAAATAAATCAAGGGGTTCTTCCTGCCAAAAGTGGACCAGAAAAAAAGGTCAGCCTGTTTCCAAAGAAGGAGTTTCCCAGGTTGAACAAGTTTCATGCATACATGGAAGTGTTGGGGGATATGCAAAGCTTCTATTCAGGCCCCATGCTGCTCTACACACTTTTAATACAATGATATGTACTATGTAAAAATATATAAGGTGCACATACATGTGACAGTATATGCAATACATACATACAACCGTGTACGTAGTCATATACAAAGAAATATGCATGATTAAATGTGTGTTGGCATATGCTCCTCCATGGAAACCTCCAAACGCTCCAGGCCTACAAGGTATTTTACTCATAAAACTATCCCGAAACAAACCGCCCCCACCCGCACCCCCAAACCATTGCTTCAGGTTTGATTTCTTTCAGTCTTCCCGAAAGGGAGTGTCCGGGCCCAATTTTGCCTTAAACATGTAGGGACACCTGCCCACAGTTAATGAGCAACTTACAAGTGAAGCGTTGGACAACTGGCTTGGAAGACGATTGCTTGCATGGTTAGCGGGGACTTACAAAGTCCCGCCCAATTATAGCGGTCCATGGTGCAACCTCCTTCTTTAGGAAACTGTGCTTTTGCAATGGCTTGGGCTTGCAAACCAAGGGTTTAACTGTCCATAGCAAAGGACAAGCAACAAAACAAAGCAATGGTAACGTGTGTAACCCACCCAAGTCTTGCCTTGGAGATCTTGTAGGGCATGAAAAGAGCGTAGCTCGCCAGGGAACAGGACATCCTCAGAGTTGACATAGGGATCCTCTGGAGACAAAGGCAGCTGTTTATCTGACCCAAGTGCATCACGCCAAAAGCGAATGCTAGGGCCCGCAGCCACTTGCGAAGTGCGCTTGTTTGGATTGTAACTCAGCATGAATATAGTCTTGCCTCAGTCCACCGTCGAAAACCTGATCGTAAAACAACAAACAGAAAGCTGAAGGGTTCTTTTGACAAACGGCAAGCAGGAGCCTCTGCAGCCTGACCCTTGGCCCCTCCAATTCGCCCATTTGTTTTGGGCTGTCTGGGATGAGGCACCCTTTCCAGGGCCACCTGGTAAGCTTTTGAGTACTGGCCAGGCTCAAGTTCTAGGAAAACTGCCCTGTTCTTTCCAGTCCAGGCATCTTCTTCCCAGGAAACAACCAAAATGCAGGAAGAAAGGCGGTCGAGCTTCCCACGGCCACTGAGCCGGACAAGATTGCTTAGGCTACCTTGTGTGCTCCCGCGGGTCCCGTTGAGCTAAATCCCCCCGAAAAGAAAGTTAAAGCATATGCAGGCAAGTCTGAAGAAATGTTGGAAGCGATGTCCACTGACACACAAATGATCTACCCCGGGGACAATGGGTTCCAACAATCGAACTCTCCTTGCATGCACAATGCTTTGCATTGGTCAAACTCCCCACGGACGGGTTCCAAAATGTGATCATCTTTTGGCTCATGCGCCCCGCATCGCACACCTGGGCCCCCGGCACCAGGGACACGCAGGCCAGCTGGGAGGCTGGCTTGGACACCGCCGGCAGCGCCGCGGCAGCCGACCTTCGGCTTTGCGGCCAAGCATTGAATCCGTCCTGTTCTGGCGGGGCAAATTTTCAGAATAGGGTTGCGGGGTATTGTGGGGTACTTGTAAAATCCGGATTTTGCGACTACGAAAATATGCTACTTGACATTTTGTTGAGCCTCGGAGTTGATGTTGGGCCCCGAATCAAGGTCCATCTGTAGAGATTTCCAATAACAAGTATTTCAGTTGTGACACCACTGGAAACCTTCCCGACTCACTCCCCATTTCAATTGAAGGTTCCCTGGAATCACAGACTTCGAGATAGCACTCATGCCCACGCGTTGATTTACAGCAAGGGCCTGCCAACACAAAACATGGTGCAATTTTCTTGCCTCCAAATTATTTGCCCCCTGGCTGCAGCTTTGAACTTTGGCCACCCAACAAGGTAGATTGAATTAATCCGCCCCTCCTATGGAATCAAGCCCTTCTAATCTTAGGATCTGATTGAGAACCCCCCCCGAAGAATAACTTTCTATTCAGTACTACTGCAGGCAGCAAGCAAGCAATCAAGCACCCCAAGCCCAAACACAACTGTCATAAGCCCCAAAGCACACCCTAGACCCACCCTAAACCAACTGTAAGCCCACCCAAATTGCACCCCGAAAGCGATTCCCAAAAAAGAGGCCCCTTCTTCGGCAGCACTTGCCCAGATTCAGTAGAAATGCGTACAACAGGCAAATATGAACCTCCAGTCGTGGAAGTCAAACAGATCAAACATTGCAAGGTCCACTCTGTGGAAGCTGACGCTGAGATGCTAAGACGTGCCGCTTGGACTGAGGGGCCCAGTCCGAGCGGCTTGAGCAGCGTCTTCCGCACCAGCCGCTCCACCTCCATAGCCGCGCATTCTGGCCTGGCAGCTTTGCAGGCTTTGCAATTGAGAGGGCTTCCTGATTACCCAAGTTTTTGCCCCTCCGACTACCTTTTCAAACAAACAGCGAACCATGAGAGGCAAAATAACATCACAAGAGATCCCAGGTTAGCTAGTTGGCTCTGAGACAACCTCCCCTCCCAAAGGCCTGTAGGGCCTCACCAGGTAAGCCACAGTGGCCGGCATCGGCTTCTGCTTGGAGGAGGCTACCTGAGTGAAGTGTGTAGTGACCACTTCTCCGACGAGGCGTAGTCGTGATTTTTGGGCATGCCAAACGGCAAACTCGAGAAACGCGTGGTCTGACTGTTCGGCAAACTCGAGAAACGCGTGGTCTGACTGTTCTGGGACGCTCTCGATCCCATTGTTTCTGGCCGAGCCCAAATGAGGGTGGAAGCCACTTAGCCACTTAACCACACACCCCGCAGGATGGTTGATTGCCTGAGTTACCGGAAAATTCAATCACGCTGTGGGGCTGGCTTACTCGCGACATTTAAAGGACCCCCGGGTACAAAATGATTTTAGTCTCAAAATGGATTCGGATACTTGCCCCGTTTAAACGGCTTGGCATTGAAACCTGGAGGGGTCGAAGAACTTGGGGTTTATTTTTCTCAGACACCCGTTTGAGCTCAACAAGGACCAAAAGGAAAAAGGTGCCACTGGTTGTGAGCGAACATGTCATGACATATCTGAACCAACTCTACCTTTGACCGCTTTGGTTTCAATCAGTTTTGGTCCGTGCTGTCTATTGGAATTAGTTGGCCTGGCTTGGGGCCAAATCTGGGATCAATTAATTATTGCAATTATTGCAATTATTGAAATTGAATTCCACGAATTGCAATAATTACAATAATTATTTGAATGTCAGATTTGGCAAAAGCCATCATTTTGGGTCCTGCGAAACACTCAAATATGTCCTGTTTGGACGGATAGTAGGTGAAACCAGAAGAACACCAGCCACCTCAAAAAATTGGTCCCTAATTTTGAGAAACACCAAGACATATACATATATACACATAGATGTACGCCGTACTGCCTTCAAAGTAATTGCAATATTTTGAGGTCCCGGATTGTGCAATTATTGCAATCATTGGAATCATTGGAATTAGTTGGCGGTTGTCCTTTGAAACCACCAAAATTGGGCTCCCAAAAAAGACACCCCCCATACTTGTGTTTTTGCCCTTGAAACTTTTGGTTTCGAGTGGACCGGTTCGAGGTGCCGTGACCCAAAGGGAGACCACCAGCACCAGGCACAGGCCGAAGCCCAAAGACGCCATCCAGATGCCCTGCATAGGACTGAGGGCGGCCTGAGCGTTCAGGTTCCAGGCGGCAGCCTGTGGGTTTGTCTTTTTTAAGAGGGTACCCGTGTTTGGGTTGGCTTAAGGGGAAACCAAAGGGAAACAACCAGTTCATACAGGGGGGGCCCGATTTTGAGAACAAGTCCCCTCTGACCAAAACAAGTCCAACCGCGTCCAAACTGCTTGTTGACTTGTTTCCCAAAAAGCATCAGGTCCAAAGAAGCAGGATTCTGCGTGGGGGCAGCTTGGCAGATTCAAATGATACCAAACAAGTCCCCAAGCCTTCCCCCAAAATCAGGGGCTGCTCGCAAAATAGGCAGCGAATAAGAAAGTGAACTGCCAAAAGTTCCCATCCACCCACCCACAGACCCACCCACCGACGCACCCCCACCCCCAACGTTCCGTCTGAATGATAGCAATCCATCGGCCAGATCAAGGCAGGAACCTTGAACTGGCTTCCGGACGCGAACTCAAAACGCATTTGATGGGCTTCGGCTTGCGCAACATCATTTTCTTTAGCGAGTGCTTCCCCAGAAGATCGAAAGTGAAGGATTTCCAAGCTGACACCCAGACGGGGGCTCGGTTTCTGAAAAAAATGGAAGCATGGTCTCTTTAGCACCCAGAGACAAGAGCCCCGGGCTTCCCATTTGGAGACAGACCGAACTGATGCGGGCGAGCGGCCGGCAGGTAAGGAAACCTGAGGCAATTTGAGTGCAAACCGCAACCGCAGCGTAGCACCAGACCCTTGGACCACCCCTTTCTAGGATACTCACATATCACATACCACAAACTCAGTGGCGTTCAATTGATTACACAGGGACAAACCAGGTGGGGTATGTCGATTTGCCTGAGGATGCCGAACACAGGTATTAACTAACTAACTGGGAAACGACAAAGGGGCAGCCGAGCATGACAACAAATCTTCCACCCCCGCCCACTTTCGAGTGGCCACTGCAATCCGGATGAGGCAAGGATTGACTGCCATGGGCCTTTGGGGGAGCTATTCCTGCATAAGCCTGGGATAAGCCAAGGAAAAGCCGGTTGAATGGGCAATAGCCCCCCTTCCCAGTTCGCCTCCCTAGTTCGAGGCCGGGGTCAAAAAACCTGTACTTTCCGAGGCCCCAAGTGGATTTTCAGGGGAAAGAAAAGGCGCCCTGTTGGGCCTTTAATCTTCACAAGAGAAGAGTAACAGGAGACAAACAAGCACTGAGTGTCTGGACTTCTTCTCCCGCTCCCATTTTGATCCCTCAACTAGCGCAACGCTACCCTCAACTAGCGCCCGCGGGAAAATGATGCGTTTGTCCTTATTCATGAAAGTACGCAAGTTCGGCACCTCACACAATGCTTCCCATGGTTACAAACATCCTTTCATAGCAAACATGGGCCATCCCTATCACTTCTTTGTCACTTAGAACAAGTTTCCCTTGGTATCACAGAAAGTGGCACTAAAACCCAAATTCCACGGCCATGGTTCTTTCTCAGGGTGTGTTTTGCTTTGATGGTACCATCTGGTACCGAGAGCAGAAACAACAGCGTCAAGCATAATCCAGGATATTGGTGGTCTCCTAAGATCAAACTCACATGACAAAATAGAACCCCCAAAACCCGGTTTGGTTTTGAATCCAAAGGGCAATGTGACACATCAAGGGAGGACCCCCCCGCCCATGCCGGGGTTGTCCTACATGCTGTAAGGCCCGTTCTCAAGATTGTGACCTCCAAACTAGCACAGTGACATCCTCAAAGGAGCCATAAATTGGAACGACGTTTAATGGACCTTTCTCCAACCAAAACAGGAAGCAACCAGGTTCCACGAATATGTGCCCTCTGTGTGTTCTGTTTGGCTTTCCAACACTGCAAAAGCAATGCGACCCTCAAAATGAAGCAACTTGGAGGGTCCAATACTCAACCCACTCCGCACCAAGACGCAGAAGTTCACCTCCGACTTCCACGCGGAAAAAGACGCAGTACCTGGCCGTTGCGCGTCGGCTTAGGAACAACCCCACCAACAAACATGGCAGCTCAAAAAGTTGCGAGGCTCCAAAGTAGTTTCCGAAGGGGTGTGCAATCCCGTGTTTGGGTTGAATAAGAAGAATAATGTTGACCCCCGATACATAAACCCGTCCTTTTAGGGGGGTGCCTTTCCTCCCAAAGAGATGGACGCCCCACCAAAGGGGGATGCCCGCTATGAATCAACCAGGGGTTTATTAATCCAGGGTCTACATTACAAACACGCTTCCATGGCGTTTGGTTGCCTCCTTCGGTCGCTAGCCTTGCCTAGACGTTTCAGGTTTCGGTCTTCAGACGCTTCAGGCGGTTCGGGAAATCAAAATGGACTCCTGAGCAAAGCCACCTTGAAGGGAAAATGCTTCTGGAACCTTTTGAGCAGGAGAGTCTTCTTCCTGCCTTCCTTCGTTTTGTCTCAAAATCGGCCAAGGATTGCCGTCTCACCCCCCGCCCCACCAGTGGCCCCTCCCTAAAAACCCGACACAAAGGCGCTTGCAGAAGTCCGCGCAGAAGCGCGGCATGAAGCAGTTGCTGCCCACCACGAAGGCCATGGTGGGCTCCTGGCCATCCAGAGAAAGGCCACTCTTTCTGTCCATCTTGACATCTTGTTTCCCTCTGGAATCTGTTTCTCTCACTTTTGTCTTGGCTTCGCTCAAAACAAAGTAGTTTCCCCTTGGCCCAAAGGCGAGTTCCACAAAAGGGTCCCAAAAAAGAATTTGGCGGGAAACCCAGGGCTCCGGTGGAGTTCCGCTTGGGTTCATGAAAAAGCTAAAACAATGATCAGATTAACATTCAAACTTAGGGAAACATGATGTTAACCTTACTGACATTTAGATTAGGAAAGAACAACTACGATCTAAAAATGCTCCGTTCAGTCCATTGTTCGAACATGCCCGCCCCAAATATTTGCACTTTCGACTGTTCTTACTGAACTAATTTATCAAATGCCAATCCTTCATCTGATCCATGATATCATTTTCCATATGCATTGCAATAAACAACTATACACTTAAGCCTTTACGCAGAATAACCAACTTCACTTATATCCTGCACTACATTTCCTGACAGCATGCCTCCGGGACTAATCGGAAGACAACATTGGAACAAGCTTCCTTGGATACATCCGAACACCACCTGCTTTCTCCGCTGGCAATGACGCAAATTTCTCCCGTATCCTTTCAGGGGCCCTGCTCCAAGATCCAAGAACTGCGGCACGAGCCCTCCTTCCAGGCCAGCAGCAGCATCAACACAACCGGCACCACGCTCACCTGGAGGAAACCAGAGGCGCCACTGGGGTGCTTAGCATAGCACCTTCTTCGGAGACTTAGAGCCCGAAAAGCTCAAAGGGAAAGGCAAGCCTGGCAATGAGAAAAGTGTCGCAGGTGTCTGTCCTTTTGATGCGAAGTATGTCTCCGGGTCGAAACGCTTATGAGGGGAGCCTGCCAAAAACCACGTGAAGAAGTCACAGGACATATATAGTGGACCACCGTGGGGTGAATTGTGAGTTCAACTTTCCGAATTCCGAGTCTCTCAGCCGCAATTCTCAAAAAAGGAATCCAGAAACCACATGGAACTAATGGGACATCCCAAGTCAAAACGAGTCGATGAATCCTGGGACGTGCTTTCAAACTCAACCTTGGCTTGGACGTGCCATTGGGGAAATCAAAGTTTAAACCTTTAAGCTGTCAGCAAGGGAACTGCGGCACCCTTCGCACCTCAAGAAACCTCCTTTGGAATTCCAAGCGCCTTGAGGCTCCCTAAGGAACCCAGGAACCCAAGCCATTCGGGAACCGTCGCTTCAACTTACCCTTTTTGACAATTGAACCCTTAGGTCCCACTGCTCACCCCCTTTGGATGTGGACCTCTGTTTGAGCATTTCAGCATCACCCGGCATAAGGACTCATGACGGATTTTGAACAGCCAAAATATTAACACCGTCTAACAAGAACATATGAGGAACCCTGGGATTGCATAACCTCCAGCCACGGTGCCAACACGTGCGCCGCTACCATGCCGCGCTGCAAGCCCAAATAGCCTCAGCTCACGCAGGAAGGATTTCCCGTGAAATACTGCCTTTCCAAACTGCACTATAAGCTGGTAATACAAACAACTATCAGAAAAGGCGACACATGTAAACACATGTCGCAAAGAGTCACACACCTATCGAGGGCGAGGCTTGCGCCCAGGCGCAAACATATGGGAGGTGAAACATATGGGAGGTGCAGCACATGTTTGCCCATACGAAGGGCCAACAAGTTGGCAACAGCCTTTATTGTTCTTTTCTTGGGGGGGGGTTGCAGCAATGCCCATGTCAGGACACGGCCTTCGTCTGAGCTGGCTTTGTTGTTCCGCTTGGGAAGCAAAGAAAAGCCAAAGGAAACAACCCAATGGTTGGTAGACTTACCCTGCCATGTAAGGAACCCACCCCCTTTGAACATTGTGCGAAGAGAGTTCCCTTGTTCGTCAGGTGCAAAAGGAAGTACACGGAAGCTCGGAAGACCGCTGTCACAAGGGTAGAAAAAGGCAAAGAAAAAGCGAACCAATAATACAAATTCCACCCTGCTGGTTCGGCAATCCTGTTAAATAATCTTCTTCATGAGCGACCGCTTTCACCCCTGGCCCAGCTCAGCTAGTTGATGCGATCGTCTACTTGGTCAGTAACTCTGCGTATAGGTAGTTCAGAAGGGAGGCGAAGCAAACACGGCGGCTACCAAAGAACTTGTTTCTAGCTGTTTCGACCTGTCCAGGCACTTCTTTTCAGAAATTGAATGAAACGTGCTGAGCCGGTCAAAGAAGGGGGAACCCTTTCGGGGTTGACCAATTTTGTGATAACACTCCAGGCAAATGCAGGAATAAGGATGCCATGCACTGAGCAAGTGGGTATTGGTCCTCGAAAGAACGAGGGTCAGCAGAATGGGGGATGCAACTGTAGAATGATAGGGACAACTGGTCCTCCACATCCCTGCGAAGCAAATGCTAGTTCTTGACAGCTCATGTTACAGCAGTATTCCCAGGGTTCTCTTCACAAGTTTAAAGGGTGGATTCGGAAAATTGGACGTGCATCAGAACCAATTCGAAACAAATCAGGTATGGCTTGGTTTTTGCACCTTCACGTTCGACTACCGACTCTGAGGGTTCTCTTGGCAACACAGTTGGCAACCTCAAACCCAGCTTGCATGGGTGTTTGTTAGACCCATTCCTTCTTGTTGCCCTTTCAAATCACCAAAAAGGGGGTGCCCTAAAAAAAGTCACGCCACATGGCGCTTTGCTGTGCAAGGCGCTCAGAATGCAGTGGGTGGAGAAGCCCCCAGAGCTCTCGCCCTGCGCGAAGTCCACCAGGTGGACCGAGACCTGTCGTTTGCCCGGGGACGGGGGCTCGGAGCCCAAGATTACGTCCGGCCTCGAGACTGGGAACAAACCCGTCAAGTTGGGTCGAATTGGGGGGGGGGGGCTTGTTGTATTGTCAGTTGCCAGGTGGTTCGAGCCAAGTCAAGACGCAAAAGACGAAGAGAACGTTTTTGGTTTTAAAGCTGAGTCACAACGTAGCCTCCAGGGATTGCCAAACCACTGGCATCATGAATCATTGTGACTGCTTCTGCCTCGACAAAATAAATCTCGCTGGTCGCGGCAGGGTAGGGTCCAAAAGAAAGGCGGCCAAATCGAAATCCACGCCGAGCCTGCAGCGATGTGGCGATATCCTTCCGGAGCGCCTGAATAAACTTGCCGCTCGGTGGGACATGTGTAGGTACAAAACGGACGCCTCAAAATTTCACCGCCGCCCTCCAGAACAAATCGATAAGGACGCACCCCCGGCACTTTGGGCCCCAAACTCGAAATGTGTATGATTTATCTTAGGCCTGGATGCCTTGAGGATGCCGGTTTGGTAAATCCGCTCCAACCCCCTGCTGAATTCGCTGCTATACCGTTTTGATGTCCGGCATCCCAGCCGTTTCTACGTTGAAGCCGATAACCCTCTGAACCCCACCAACCGTTCAAAGCAAACATGGCAACGCCATGGACCCTGTTTCAGGGTGACGAAATCTCTTCTTCGAGTTGGGTAGCCCCGTTTGAGACACATCAGAACCCGCCCAGAAAAGGACCTTTAAACCCTCACTACCATGGGCCCCATCTCCCCATCCAGGATCCAGGATCCATCTGCAAGACGGACCTCACCCGTCAAGCTAGGGGTACGGGCTGGCTTCCCTGCAAAAACTGAGACAAACGAACCGGCAAATTTGGCGGGGCGGGGGCTTTTTCAGAGCACCTCTTTGGTTTCAGGGTGGTTTTGGGGTGGTTGCATCCTTTGAGGAACCCTGTCAATACCAGGATTCATCCACTGGTTGAAGAGCGTGTTTTTTGAGTGTCCCCAACCAATTGACAGAACACCTTCATACAAAGTGGAAGGAACACCAAACGCCTAGCCCGAGAAGACCCATCAACCACCAAAACCAACCACTGGACCCACCAACTACTGGACGCACCAGTCGTAGCCGCACGGGAAACTACCAACCACTGGACACGGGTTGTCTACCCCCTGGACCGGATCCCCGAGAAGAGTTTCTGACCTTGGCCGCCGAGGTCTCCAGCACAGCGGACATGGCGGTGGAGGCCACCGTGGAGAAGGCCATCAGCTGGTTCACCAGGATCCCACCTTGGATCCACGGCGTGCGGTTCAACCGACGGGATGGATTGGAACAAATGGACCAATTCTTGGACACCTGATGGACAAAAATCAATTTCGCGCCAAGCATGGGGGAAACCTGATTTAACTGGGAGAAACCATCGACCAACCTGTGCGAAGCGGGCACGTTGTCTCAACAACCTCCTTTTAGTTCCTAGGTGGCCAGGGCCTCTCTATTGAAGCATACCCCGGACCCAGGGGCTGGCTCTCCTCAGGTGCTCTTGGAAACTTATGGACCGCTAGGACACCACAAGGGATCCTTGAAAGGGGCGCATTCTTTCATCCCCTGCCGAGAACCAGCAAAACAAGGGGGAAGTGTGTGGGGGAGTCCGAGGCGCATTTTTCATGTTCCTAGCCGAAGTACAATCAGAACATGGCGGCATGCATGGAGTTCCAGGAGTTACTCCTCTAGGCGGTGGAATGGATTTCCACGAATAAAAGGGTCTTCCCAAAAGAGCAAAGGTCTGAGTGAAAGAAACCTTCTGGAAGAATAGGGAAGGCCTTGAGACAGGCAGAGCTGTGGGAGGCAGAGCTGTGCGCATACCCCCCTTGTCTTGCGCCCATGGCCAGGGATCTGACCCAGTTGCAGCCCACCCCCTGGTATGTTGCAGCCACCCCTCCAAGAAGAATCTGGCAACGCAAAGGTTTCCCCCGCCCCCTTCGTGTTTTTTTTCCTCCAGGCTCTGCTTAGTGAGTGTCCACCTATGGCCACCTGACCAGCCAGGTCGCTGATCTTCACCTCCGCCTCTCGGCCCTCCGCAACGCTGGCCATGGCGCCAAACGCCGCCATGGCGAAGATGGCCCCATCCTCCGACACGAAGCGTTTCAGGCGGCTTGGGCTGGTGGTGGGCACTGGTGGGCTGGGGGGAAGGGCCTTAAAGAAAATTGGTGCGTGTCCTGGACAAACATGAGACATGGACAGATCAAACCCCGCTGTTGGCGAAAGCGGCGAATCACCTGTCGCTCGCCATTAACGGGCCCTATGTGGTCTACGTATAAAGCGTTTCTTTCTTGGAGAGGAGCGGCGCGGGCCTCCAGCCCAACAAGGCTAGGTGCGCCTAACGCATTGCCCAAAAGGCCTCTCCCGAAAGGCAGAAGTCAGGCTCCAAGCGCAATATGCCCACAGCACCAAGTACATGTTTGTGGCTGTACCTCCGCACATACCAGTTGTACCTCTCTCATTCTTAAGGGATCCAAATGTTCAGTTGCCGCACAACTGGAAGTTTTTTCAGCAACTAGTTTCTCAAAAGAACGACAGGCCGCATTCAGGGGGGGGCCAAGCTGGTGAGTCATTCAGCCAAATGAAACCTGGGATACGCCATACGGTATGGCTACGCTGCTACTTGAAAAAAAGAGCACCAAATACAAGTTGTTTGCTCCAAGAAAGCTTCAAGTGGAGCGCTATTGGAGAAACCAGCAGGGGCCGGATCAGCAAGTTCATTTACCAGTGTGTATATCCAGCCGTTGCGCTGAACGGCTCGTTACACGCATTCGAACAGCCTGGCAAGGGTTGCAGAGCAACTGGCTCCCCGGCCCAAAACACTGCCCACATAGAGAGGACAATGAAGGCAACGGGCATGCGAGTACAAAACCAAGTCTCAACCCACAGGTTCCTGCAGAAGAGAGGGGTGAAGTTTACCTTTCGGCCTTGATTAAAAATGAAGCTCGTGGAACCATACAAAAGTATCCTTTTCAAAACAAAGATGGCAAAAGTCGAAAGGGTTCCTCTCTGGGAGCTTGCCAAGTCCGTTAGCCCCTGTTATGCACTCTTGTAACTAGGGTTACTTGCACAGCTACCCTGACCCCTTTAAGGCCAGTGACCCAAGCATTGAACCCTTGCGTGGTTTGTGGAGAACCGCCTGAGCAAAGAGAACAAAAACAGAGCCCCCAAACAAGTCGACCCGTCCCAAGTCCCAGTCCAACGGGCAAGCCTAAGATCTGCATGGCCCCTCAGCCCTGCAACCATGCCTTGACCACCGTGACGGCCCCCTGCTTCAGCTGCTCAAAGCTGCTCAAGGCGCATCCTCAGTCGATGACTTCCGCGTCCAAACAACACGATTCGCCAGGGAAAATCAAGAAATCGATCTCTTATACTACACGCACACCACTGCCTGTATTGGACATGGGCCTGGGATATGTAACTCGAAAGCATCAATCGCATGCTCATATGTAGTGGTTGTATACCCCACGTTTGCTTGGAGGTGCCTAGTCGGACGAAAAATCGCAGGCAGGAGCGAAGGGGCCAACCACATACTAATTCGGAGCCATGGCAAAAGAGTCACTGCCGACTTGGTAACGTTTTTGAGGGCCATTAAGGACCAGTCAGTTACCAGTTCATGACTCCTGACCATGTCTCCCCTTGCGAGACTGAGTCACAAGATCCAAGGTCGATTGATAAGGGATGTCCCGTGTAAGGACTTGTTCGGAAAAGACACCCCTATAAACCACACATCCCAACCGGAAATAGCGTGTGATCCAACACATCGGTTTTTCTCCTGGTGGATCAACTAGATCCCGGACCCCGGACCGTTCTGTTGGTTCTACTTCAACCCGCAGTTTTCTTCAAGCTGCTGACGCAGGAGAGGATGCTGGCGTCGGAGATGCCATGAGTGGAGGCGCAAGTCATGCAGCCCTGGCCCACATAACCTGCAAAACCGACCCAGCCACAATCCCCAACGTCCTTCACCCCCAAAAAGGTACAGGCCTTCGCCTTACTTCCCACTGTTGCCTTCCCCCCCCATGCTGGAATCCTTTTTGAACGGACCTCCTTAGGCCTCAATGCCCATAGTGGAATTGGGGGAGGGCCTCTGGTGGTTGCCTAGTCACCATGGGATTGCGATAGCTGGGTCCGATCGGCACTTTATACGTCAGGGTGAAGGTAAATGGCACAACTCACCAAGATCCTTTTGGGTAAAAGGGGATGAAAATGATGAAACCATATGAAACCCTAAATGGGTTGGACCAAGCCGCTGGAAGGCTCGGAGCTTGGAAGGTGGGTTTGAAGCACAACGATTGGCCGAAGGAAGCACCTTTGCACCCAGTCAAGTGGCACCTCAGCTTTCACCCCCAAACAAAAATGACAGCTTTGCTGCTCCACAAGCTTCCAAATGCAAAATAAGATAAACAAGTTCAACAGAGAACTCGGGAGCATGGGCAAATAATCATTGGGGGCATCACAGCGAAAGTGGGGTTGCACTTATGAGTTCTCAAGAAAAGTAATCAATTAACTAGGTGGCAGATGCCCTTGGGTTCTTTTCACACATTGAAGCATCTGTGTACTCCTTGACACGCAGAACATTGTTGGACCGCCTTAAGCAGGTTAAATCGTATTACATCAATCAACAAATAAATAAGCTATGTACAAACAGTTATCTTCTGTGCATATCTGTGTAACTATGCATATCGGGTATAAGCAGCACAGACTCTAAAATGCGGCACAGCCCTTCATTCCTGACAAGCTACAACCCACCCAACTCCCCGCCCGCGCCCGCCCACCCACTCCACACACGCACGCGCGTGCGCGCACGCACGCACGGACCCACGCACGCACGCACGCACCCACCCACTCACGCACGCTACGCACGCACGTGTGCGCATCCCCACACCTTCACACCCACCACCCGCCCACGCACTTAGACACGGAGGCACGCACAGCATAGTCTCGCTTGCACCTTGTAAGACATTCACGCACTGGTTGAAACCTGAATGCAATCTGCAAATCGATCATAGTTCCAAGGCCTGACATGGGGTAGCGCCCTGTAAAGCACACTTGGAACAGGTGAGCTCGTTGCATGCCTGGTTCCGCCTCAAGGCCCCGCCCCCTGCAAGAAGCTAGACTCTTAGGTTCCAGGGTTACAAAAACCCTGGTGGCAGCCGAATCTTCGAGAGGCAGGTTCTTCCGGCCAAGCTGATCAACCGTCCAATGATGCTTCCTTGAAAAGGGACAATCGTCAAAAGACGGCCCAACTGGATTCTCCAAACAAACCTCTTAAGGGACTCCACAACAGTGGTTGTTTCTACACGGCCTTGAAGGAGGAAGCCTGTCAAAAGGCGAGAGGCTCCTTGCTCAAAGGACATGGACATAAAACGCTAACCTTCTTTGACCGTGACTAAACATCAAATCGGCCGATTCGCTCCAGGCAACTTGGTCACCTCTATACATCATGCTGGACAGGTGAAATCGCAAACGTTCAGAGGTAAGCCAAGCTAGGTCTTGTGTTACCAAGCCTTGACCCGGGCAGAACTTGGAGAAATAAGGCAACCTCATTGAAACACGATATAACATATTGTTGAAGTCCCATGGTCAACTCAGTGTCTCCCTTTATGAGTGGGTTGCAGTAACAAAAAGCCCAGGCTTGCTGTTTAACACTACAACGGTCCCAAGTGTTTACAGTGCAAACACCTAGGGAACTCCCCTTGCTCACATTGGAATCCCAAGCCGTGCCACCAGTTCCACCAGAAGGCCCCCCGCCCAAATGGCCTTCCGCGCACATGGGGGGCTGGTTGAAGGGCAGCGCTCCCCCAGGGCACACCCGCGGGTTGGGGCAAATGTAGCCTTTGTCTCCTCAGGGGCGACGGGCGGCAGGTAAAAAAAAGCCCTTTTCGGGATTGGCCAAACGAAAAAGGGAAAAAGGGGTGGAACCCACTGAAGACCAGTTTTCGAGTGGGTCGACCATTTTCACTGGGGCTGACCATTCAAAGGGATGTGAACAACTGGGCCTCCAGGCGAAAGGAAATTGGTGCAAGAAAATTGTCCCCCCAAAGTTGGGGGAAACATGTGGTTGACTGCCTGAAAGCAGGCCAACAACGGAGCGGCGGAAGTTCATTTCTGTTTGCCTCGGCATCCCCCCCAGTTGCTCTTTGCACCTTTGGACTACCTCCATTCTCCAGTCCAGGAACTCAGGTGTCCACCCACTCGATGTTTGGAGCCTGGCGTTTGATTTGCCTTTCAGCCTGTCCTCAATCTGCGATAGCCAAGAGAGAATGAGGTTTGGAGCTATATTTCACCCACTACAATTACACAACTTTCCCCAACGTGTGGCGGAACCCAACGAAACGAGTTAAGTGTACTTGCTTGTTTTGATGCTATCCTTTTCAGCTTGGCTTAAGAGAAACCAAAAGGGAAACCACTGTGTTTTGGGCCCTACTTTGACACACGCCCGTAAGTTTCAAGCCACGTGTGCGACGCATGTCTTTGAGATAGCCTCCTCCTCCAGATCCATGTTGTAGGGCAAACTGCAATCATATTTTGGCCAAAAGGCAGAAACCAAAGTAGCAGGAACCAGAAAATGACTCTTATAATTCCGGCTTCTGCTACTGAGAAAGACTTGCCCACCTTCTGGTGCTTGATCTTCAAGGGAAAACAAGTCAACAACCGCGCCTCGAAAACTTGACCCTGGGGAGAGGTCAAAAGCAAAGGACAAACGAGGCTCTGTCACCAGCAGTCAGTCTAAGCCAAGGATCCCAGCAGCATGTAACCCTCCCACATCCGCAGCTCATTGGGCAGGCAGGTGTCCTTACGTGTGGGTCTCCAAAGAAGATTTGAGCGGGCTGGGGGAAGCTAGCGCGTTGCAGCATGCCAGGGACACACCGAAGTTTAGTGCACCTTAGCCAGGTGTGAAAGCGCAATGGACTGGTTGTCAGTCAAGAATCACAGGTGTCGCTACATCTATTCTAACTTATGTTGAAGAATCTCAAATGTTAACATTCAGGAAGCATGGTAGCACACAGCGAATGTTAAAGACAATTAGTGAATTGCCGTCAACACTAGTGCCAAGTAGTTCACTTTAGCCAGTTGGGGATGCGACAATCAGAGAACAAATACTTACTTTGAATGCATTTGCGAGAAGAAGGCTGAACTTGACAGAACCGTAGAGTTAAATGAAATGCACTAATGCTTACTAAGTTTCACAAATGTGCACAAATGTCACAAGTACTCACGAAATGTCAAGAACTGTTCACTAATTGTGGATTTGAAAGGTAGAAGAAAACAACTACTTAGTGCGAATGCATTTGAGAGAAAAGGGCTGAATGTTGTAGAGCATTGGTGAAACATATGTGTGAAGCTGGGTGCATGTTAGGCAGGTGTGAAAGTGCAACTCACACATTGTTGAAATTCACATGTGTTTGCTGATTTCGCTGTGTGTCGCAAACTGTCACGAATAGGCACTGCGAAGCTTTGGCGAAGACATGGCGCCAATTAGTGAAGTTTCGTCTGTGTGCATCGGCGCGTACCGGTGCGCGCCGATGCAAAGTTGTCACTAAGTCTCATTGACGTTCAAAATTATCACAAATATTTGCTGATTCCAAAACATGCTGAGGAACGCCAAATCTCAAATTCATGAAACATGGTGACAAGCAGCGAATATTAACGAGAACTAGTGAGTTGTAGTGAACGTTTGTGACAAGTAATGCAATTCAGTCCGGCGTGAAAGTGCAATGCACAAACATGTGTCGCTACTACTTTGCTGACAAACCTACGGATCTGAACGCTACTGAACAAATCTCGGTATGAATGCATTTGAGAGAGAGAGAGATATCAAGGCTCATTTTTGATTGACAAATTATATTGTGTGAACCCACTCATGCTCAATGAAACCCTTTCTTGGGGAGACCGGGGAAAAACGGGGAGGAAAAGCAGGGAGAAAAGCAAACTCAAAAAAAAGCGGAGCGAACCAGTGAACCAAGCAAGGGAGATAGCCTTGGGGGACAGTCAGGCGGACCAGCAACGAGTCGAAAACATGGCTGTGCGGGTTGTTCGGCAAAATTATTGATAGAATCAAAAAGTGGGAATTCAGCCCGCGCACTTGCTTAGGCAAGTCGAGATACATCTAGCTGAAGCTAGCGTTTGTGAAAAGGACGACGCGATGTCTGCAGACTGTGTTTTTGTGTGCCTGGCCTGCCTTCTTCGGCCCAGAACACAATTGGCAGAGTTGGGTTTTCAAAAAGCATGACCCCCGCCCTGTGTCGAGTTGCTTCATTGGCTTGGGGGCTGAATAGGGGCTCTGTTGAAAAGCGTATCTATCCCGTGGCATCTAGCCCTGAACCATCACACCAAAAGGAAGCTTAGTTTGTTGTTGACCACCCTTTGCAGAAAAACGAAGCTGGAAACCCGACAAATGCCTGCTATCTCTCTTTCCTATCGATCCATCTAGCTTTCCATCCACCCCTCCATCCATCTAGCTAGAAAAGTCTCTCTTTCTCGATCTCTCCCCCTCTCTCTCTACCTTTGTAGAAATATCTCTCCCACTCTACACAAAGCATTTCTTTCTTGCTATCTATACGACTATCTCCTTCGCCCACATCCGGAAGCGAAAGGGTGGAATTCGCAGCCCAATCCCAGAGGAAAACTAGTAAAAAAGGGAACCCTGTTGGGCGTGGTGTTCAAAGGGGCTATGCGGGGGGTGGGCCTATCATGGGTAAGCACAGGATAAGCCAAGGATTTGACCTTGAGGCCTTCTTGAGGTTTTAAAAGGTGATAGCTCCCTCCCCATAGCGGTCCATTGTCCATGAGAAAAGCTTTGGAGGTGCAAACAATTCCGCGACTAGGCCGGGGCGCCGTATGCCGTGGGCAGCGCTGGCATCGGGCTCTTGACAAGTTCTGCAGCTGGAAGTAGTCCGGGTCGCAGCGGTAGCAGCCCATGCTGCCCCGGCGGGAGCCCTCATCGATGGATTCCGCGCTTTGAGAAGTGGATTGCACCTCAACATATCCGGTATGTTTTGAGGTCGGCCAAGTGTGGAACAGATTCTGCACATATGTTTGGTCTATTCTGAGGTTGGGCCAAGCTCTGGGGAATATTTGACACTTGCTGAAGCCGCTTCCCGATTTCTACCTCAGGTTCTGCCGACTAAAAATAATATTTGACATATGTACTGTGTCGATGTTTAGTGCACCTTGATGTGCAACATTTAGTTCTAAAGATACCTCCAGAAGAAAGAACTTGTTGTTTGAGTGTCCCCTTGTGGGTTTTGTTAATTCGCAGCCAAGCACCAACGCCGCACCCCATGTTGGCCACAATTGTCATTGCGGAAGTGTATGTTTACAGGGCACGTAGTCTTCCCACGGCCCATTGCTTCAACAACTTGTGTTTTAAACTTTCTTGTGGATTCCCTTTGCAGGTGTCCGATGTCTGGATTTTGCCCAACCTGGGTAGTTGTCCTACACCTTCCTGTCAGCTTCCAAGTTCATTGTGGAAAATATACATTTCTGCGACACCGAAATTAGCATGGGCCATTGCTATGACGCGTGTTTCACTTTAGATAGGGTTCGACCCTTGGTGCCTGACGCATCCCACAAACCTCCCTAAACCCAGCAGAACAACCAAGCAAATCCCAACTCTCAACCTCCGTCAATTTCATCCCCTGCCCATCCAGCCTCCGCCACCTCCTCCAGCCCCGCCCCCGCCGGGCACAGCGGCACCGACGTGTTCACGTCGTGAACGCCATGGAAGGCGCAGCGATTGGTGGCAACAGGGCACTGCACCGGCAAGCCGAGCCTCAGCGATGGCCCGGAAAGTAAGTCCTTTGAGCAAGAAATAGTTGGGTCTGTCTGTTTGGCAGGGGGTCCGAGCAAGACATACTCTTTATTTATTTAATGTAGATCTATTGTTAGAGGGTTCTCTGCTTTTTGTGCTTATTGAAATGTTTGTTCAGGTGTTGTTCTGCCATTCTGGGTTCTCCGCAAAGCTGGTTCCGAAGGGGGTTGCTTCAGGTTTGCGCCTCGCAGCCGATGGGGGATGGCTAGGGGGTTCGACCCCTGTTTGGCCTCTTGCGGGGGGAGGGGGACAGATGGTAATACCTATAGCCTATGACCTACCGCGAAATCGGCTTCAACTTGTGCCAACAAGCTTTCAAAGGTGTGCTACATCGTGGTTGAAGCAATGAAATGCTGAGAGTCTTGGCAGCTGTGCTACTATGTTCCATCAGGTGCGTAAACAAGCTGCGCAGATAAACCCTCTGGCGCTGCCGGAGAGCAGTCCAATCCAATGATAGCTGAACATTTGTCAGATGATGTTACGTATGGAATTCTCCGGGCCCCTGTGAAAGGCCAAGTGGCTTCCAGCTGGTTGCCAGCACAATGAAGTCTCGAGACACATGGTTCTCGATGCGAAGGTCCTGTTCGACTTCCAAAGCAACGCTTATTTGCCCTGAATATTTACCAGCAGGGAACAGGTTAAAAACACTGCAGCCGATCATGGTTCAGCTGCATTGTTTGGGAAATGCACAAAAATAAGATTGTAATTTGGCGTGACTTGTGCTTGGTGCAGCGAGGCAGTTTTGCGGGAATCAACAGTGGTATTCTGGTCTGGCGGCATCATGATTCCGCATAAGGCAACAGGTCTGGAAACGAAATCTATCCTTCCCCAATTCCCAAGCCCAATTCCCACCAAATCGAAAACCCAATGTTTCCGACCAAAATGCCAACCCACCCCAAGTGCCCGCCTGCAAGTTCAGCCGGGCCTGTGACCCCAGGGAGGCCCCGCCCGCAGATCCACCGCCCACGTCCCCCACGCGCAGCAACGAGATCTCCGCCGGCAACGTCCTGACTCGCGACCAGCTTCCCCAAGGAACACCCTGAAAGGGTCCAAGCAGGGGTCCAGCGAAAAGTGGTGTTGGACTCAAAAACGCTAACCGTGTCTGTTTGGAGTTGTCCTTTAGTCAACACCCTTGACGCAAAACAGGAAAACGTTCCAATGCCCAGGGCACAAAGCGAAAGGATAACCACTTGCGAGCGACAACCCAAGAAAGGCAGCGGGACCATCCTTGTTTCTCCATGCCCAGGGTTGGGCAACCCCTCGCGGCTTCAGGGGCCGGGGGCAGCTGCTTAAAGAACTGCTGCAGCCTGGTTAACCCATTGTCAGCAATGTCAGCAGTTTCCCGCTGAGAAAGATGGTGGAAACCCGCTGCTTGTTTCCAACACACACACAGCTCCAAAACACAAACAGATCGTGGGCCATTTAGCAACGAGCAAAACAAAACAAACACGGGATGGCGTTGGTTGAAGCTGGGGCTCGTGTAGAAGGCCCCACCGCTCAGCCAGGCGCTGCCTAGGCACGCTGAGTCCCGCTTTGGAGGTGAACTTCCACTCGTGTGGACATCGATCTCTGTCATATGTCACGCCCATGATTACTTTAACATAGGGAGTTCCCTTGACCACTCAAGGGACGCTGACAAGGGTCGCCCTCTCGGCAGCTGGAGATTTCGTCTGCAACCAAATTACGGATCACAACTCGCCACAAGCAGTCCTATGCCACCTTTGCACAAAGTCGCACTCCGCTCCGATATGCCAAAAGGCACTCTGGGAATAAAAATTGAAACGTTTACTACTTGAGTGAATCCAGCATGAAACCGGAGGCAAGTGTCGCGCATGAGTGAAGAGGCAAATCGATTTGGTAACCTGCCACGGCAAGTACAACTTTGTCTGTGCGATAGAACGGCCAAAGTCGCCCGTCTGGCCGGGGAGACTTGCAGTTCTTCGTCGGTGATATTACGGATCCGGCTTCTGCCCAATGCGCAAGATCTAGCATTTGCAGCTTTTGCATGTTAAGCAGGCGGCGGGCCCGCTCCGTCAAACTCGGAAAGAATTGTGCGCGGCTTCACGCAGGGAAGCATCAAGTTCACCTACGTGAGGCCACGAACCGCCATAGTATCCTGCGACATGACTTGGAGCATGGTGGGCAAGGATGAGGTAAGTGCAAAGTCGTGTGGTCTCCATCTGGCTCGCCCTTGTAATGAAGATCCATCAGGAATATTATCGCCGGAAGGCTGGACATGTTCGTAATCCTGCCTGTCGACCAAGCACTTTCTTGCTTTTTACACATTCATGCCCTTTTTTGGGAAAACTCGCGTCCGGCCGTCTTCAGGTGGGCGAGGTAGAGTCTGCTCCTAGCTTCGGCAACCACTTGCTGCGGCTCGGCCCACATGTTTGGGTGGCAGTTGCAGTTGCGGTGAATCATATTCCTGTGCTGGCAGCATCTTTGTCTCCCATTCGGACTCTGCTCATTGAGTTGGTCTGATGTGCTTGCGCTTCGCTTTATGGTTGGTTCAGAAGCCAAAACGTTCAAACTTGCTTTGCTCGTGGCTCAGCGTGACTTGTCTCTGCTTGATAAAGCCGGGAAGGCAGTCCAGGGACTCCAACAGGACACACTCAGAGCGCAAAACCGAAAACTCGGGATGAAATCGCGGCGATTGCCGCGGGGCAGTTGTGCAAGATCAGCTCCCCCTGCAGCTTCAGGTCCAAGCCCCGCGCCCTCAGCTGTAGCACCTGAGCTTGCGGAGATGCTTTGGATCTCCCCAAGATTCACATGGAACCCCAACCTCCCGTTGAATGGGTTCTGGCAAATGGGCTCCAAATGGATGCTACACAAACGGAGGTGTCGCGTTTTGAGGGCATCCCTTTTTGTTCTTTTTTTCTTCTTCTTCTCCTTTTCTTTTTCCTTTTTTTTTGGGGGGGGAGCGGGGGGGAGGGGGGGGAGGGGGGGTTCACATGACAAGCCCTTGCAAGCTGAAACCCATACCGGAGCGCGCTGAAGCCGCCCCCGAGCTCGCCGGCGTGGCAGTGGTCGAAGCGCATCACGCCCCGGTGCTGCACGAAGTTCTGGCAGAGTGGGGCCGGCTCTGGAAATTCCGCCGGGGAGGTTCCCAGCTTCCACCTTCCAGTTCAGTCTCAAACCCGCCCCTAATCCCCCAACCGTCTCACCCACTCCAGTTTCTCCGCAGAGCTCCAAAAAACACACATCGGACGCCATTCAGCACGTCAGGAACCCAAAACATTGCCATGTTCTCAAACCAAAACGCATGCATTCATGCAGTGGTCCTGTTCCAAGCCTCATCTTGCAAACCGTTGCCTCTCAATCCAAGCATGAAAAGTGAACGGGCAGAACCCTAGGCAAGTTTACAAAGGGTAGCTTCAGTCTAATGTACCAGGCCAGGCTGTATATTTACACGCCTCATTCTTCCTTCGATCATGGTATAAGTTGGTTTTACATACCCCACAACAAGCATTCTAATGTGTTTGGCCCTTATCTTCAGGCCCCTGGGGATCTTCAAGAGAAACTGCTTGCAGGCAATGTCGCGACGCAGGTTTCACATGCTCTGGTACCTCTGGCATTTACTAGGGCCTAATTGGAACGGGGCTGGGGTAAACTGGCCCCTTCAAACCTTAGGGACTCTCTGGGACTGGCATGAGCCTGAGGTTCTGCTTTGTATTTCGTCTACCCTCTGTGAGATTCTGCGAAGACTCTAGAGTCTCTAGACTCTGGAATCTCTAGAATCTCTAGAATCTCTAGAATTCAAGAATACCCCGCCCCTTTTGTCAATGATTTTCCCAACGGAACATCAGAAAGCAGAGAGGTGAGGAACGGATCTTTCCACCCTGAAAAGGGATCACACGTTTGACTCAATTCAACCCACAACCCCAAAACAAGCAATGCACATCGAGCATTTTCAGGTTCAGTGGCAAACCTCAAAGAATGCTGGACATGAAGCTAAATCCACGAATTTACCTCCAATTGGTGTTGACATGGACCTCAAAAGTAATTTTGACCTCCCTTACTCCTTAAGGGATCAGCTGGGTAGTCCTGCCCCAACGTCCCAACTTGCAGTTTGCCACTAAAACCTTGAAAGTGACAGCAAGTCCAGAAACTCAGGGGGTGAGACCCATTTTGTGGCAACATACTGATTTCCTCCATGTCAGTGAACAGCGCGAGCCCTCCTTCTCCATGACGGCGAGGCAGCCGCCGGTCTTGCCTGCCTCGCGAACTCATGCCATAGTGTTGCTTGTCGCGGTACACAAAAAAAAACCCTTGCAAGGGGGTAGGGACACTTGTTTCAAAACACGGGCGTCACTTCATGTTGGAAACAAGACCCTTCCTGTAACCCACCCGGGGGCTCTTCATGCGTAGACATGATCAACAAGGATTGCAAAGTCGCCTGAAGAGTTGCTACGCGTACGTACCTTCCGTGAGGGAATCCTGA